GTCTGGATCTAGATGGTTTTGCACTACTTCGGATTCTAACTTTGAATTTAGTAGTTATGGCCATGATGAGCAATATGTTGCTTGATAGTATCTGACAGTTTCCTGGGGGGCATTTTTAGGGAATAGGTCTCCAGGGACCTGTTCCTCACATTTACGATGAATCATGCACCTTAATCTCCAGTCACCTCTATTTCACCAGAAAAGTCAGTGCTTTAAACTGTCAAGAGCATATAAACGTACTGAGGCAGACAGACATAAATTGGTACCTTACTGTCAGTTCTAGTACTTCCAGATTACACATTGAGGCAAATCATTCTTAATTTTAAAATTGTTTCAGTTCTGTCAAAGGAAATACAAAGGATTTGTTTTTTATATTTTATATTTAAATGGCTACCCTTTCTCAAGGGGAAAAATGATAACAATTTTATTTCACTTGTATTTTTATTTATAATGCCCTTAAAAGTAGCTTTGCAAAGCACTTTACAGTAAGAAAAAAATAACAGATAGGAGATAGAAAATACATCAATTAGAGACAAGGGTTTAGAATGCAAGGTGCAAGCAGAAGACACAGACAGCAATTAAATTAAAGCCTTTCTGAAGAAGATGTTTTTGAAGAAGGATTTAAAAATGCTCAGGAAGGTGACACTCTGATATCCTTGGGGATAGAATTCCAGAACTTTGGGGTGCAGCAACAGAAGGCACGTCTAGTATATCGATAAGTTTGGGGTACAAATAGGAGACCAGAGTCAGGTAAACAAAGTTCCAAGGTGGGGAGTAGGAAGATAATAAGTCAGATAGGTACTGAGGTTATAAGCCATGTACTGTAGAGCCATATAAATGATCATGATGATTCTGAAGTTGACAAAAAACTGATATGAAGCCAGTGCAAAAACCCTAGAATAAGAGTAACATGATTATGGCTGCCAAATTCTGGACATACTTAAGTTTGTTCAGTGTGGATTTCCTGAATTCACTATATTTAGATATAGCGGATCGGGTATTGCAGTAATTAATGCTGGAAAAAATGAATGTGTTGATCAGCTCTTTGGCTACAGTCAGAGACAACATAGGACACAGTCTGGTGATATTTCTGAGATGAATGAAGAATGATGGAAAAACAATGATTTTTTAAGTCTTGGTACTGTAGCCTCAGTTGTAAAACATACAGTATTAACTCAGAGACAACCTGATGATACTTTTTTTCAAAACAAAGTACTCTGTCACAGACGCACAGTAAGATATTCTGAGGCAGTGGTTTTTCATAAAACATACAAGTCTTATTTTGCCATTAAATGGGATAAATTTACATTTTCCTCATGTGTATGTTAGAGTGTGATTAGTTTCTGCATTTAACAGTCTGGTTTATCCAAAATTACACTAAAAGAGTAGCTGCAAGTTATTATCAGTATAGGGGAATGTTACTTTACTGGTAGAAATTACAGTTTTAGGTGTAAGGAATTATTTTTACATTAGTTACAGTACAGTGATCTATGTAGTCTGTATATACTTACTAAGTAAAATATCACATGATGTCTTAAAAACAATTTCTCTCACCATTTCAATTTTAAAAAGTAATTCCTTACACAAGTAACCTTTGCCTGAAAATGTGTAACTTACCTGTAACTTGTAAGTACCAATCATTTTGATCTATAAATGTCTGGCTATAGCTATGGAAAAAATGGAGCTGTGCTGTACTATCACAATGTGTGTCAGAAGATGAATGGTTCAGTCAATTCGTGCACAGTCATAATCTTCCACATGTTTTTGGATGGGTACATGGCCTACTGCAGTGAAAAGAATTTAAAAAAATGCTGATTTATATAAATATAATAAATTTATATAAAGTCAGTTACACTACTATAAATACTCAGGGATGTCACACATGCATATTCACAAATAAAACTGATAAACCACTTTAGCTTCCTGTTTTAAGAGATACGGGCTTTGACCACATTATTTATCAATGTTATTATTTAATCTACAGATGATATACAGGTAAGTGCAAATTACAGCTTTTTAATTTTAATTAAATACTGTTGTTAATGTCCATCTGGTAGGAAGACATTGCTTTGATTCTAACTAACCCTTTTCTAAAATGTAAAAGCACCTTAAAGCATCAGAAAAAAGGTTTCCTATATTTCTTTGGACTAATAAAAGTCAATAAGATTACAATTTTCCAGCTAGGCTATATACAGTATTTGTACATTTTAATGCTTAAAATTAAGTACTTTAGGTCCAAATATTGAGGATATTACCTACTACACTATTAATTTGAGCTTCATTTTGCAGTTATGTGCCTTATGTCAAATTGGTAAACTTCACCAAAACAAGAATCAATGGAGCAAATACAGTGCAATGTCAAACCTCTTGGGAACACCAATAAATGCAGAGCAGCAGACTTCACCCAGTACAAATACCAAGACAACATTTATTTTAAAAAACAGCAGATGTAACATTGGTCAAGGTATTTACAGTGCTTATAAAGTAACACTGTATAAAGGCAGGAGTGGTGATGACCTGCAACACCTCATGAGAGCACCACTGTCTAATAGCACCATTGAATAAAAGAGGCAGAAAAAACAAAGCAGGTTAAATTCAGATTCTCTCCCAATTCTCTGATGTTAATCATCCAGTACAATACAATATACATCAGTTTTGTATCATGCACTGTATTTTTTGTGCGGATGATTTAGTTTTATTTTATTCAAAAATATTTAAAAAATGAAAATATTTCAATACTTAAGATCTCCCCACACATACAGTCAAAAAACATGTGTGACTTCACCTGTAATCATTGCAATGAATAAAAAAGATGTAATTTTATTCTTTCTTAAAATGTATTAACTTCTTGTTGTTCTATTTACTTGTTCTATGTCCAGATAATGTCAATGAGGCCCTGATGTTTTAAAATCACACAAACAACATTACTGTATGTGTATTAATACACATGGTCTCATGATAATATGTGGTCTTCTTGTACGCTGTGCTAAGCAAATTTGTTTCATAGATGATCAAATACAAGATCAACGAGTATGGATACATACTGCGTAACTATGAAATTACCATAAATTGCTTCCATCAGTGAGTCTGAATTATTGCTGTCCATAGTCATTACAGTTTGCTGTAGACCTATGACAATATTATATTATAACACCTGTTGTGTATGTTGCTATTGAATTTAACTGCCAATAGTGAAAAGAAAACAGAATTGGCCTGAACATCAGTTGTATGAATTTGGTTTTTGCCATTTTCCTGTAAAAGTAAATGTAAACAGAGAAACTGATGTATTGGCATTATAAAAAAAAGTGTTTTCAAGCATTTTAATTAATTTAATTATTAGAAGTTATGTTAAAAAAAGAAAGTGACAGTAAAAAAAACAAAAACAGGTTGTGATTTTATTTAGTGTCTGAAGTGTGGCTTAGTCCACTCAATTTTTGGGACTACGTCCCCTATCATGGAGGAAAGAAGTTGAATGGGGTTCTATGCCAAACACTGATAGTCTTCTACTGTAGAGGAATCACTTTGCGTAGAAATAACTAAAACAAATACTCTTCATAAGTACATAAAACAACAGGATGCACATTATTAGTAATATCCATCATGTTCCCTTCACACATAGCATTATTTCCAAGGCTACAAAAGCTGCTAAAAACCTGCCTGATGATGTTGATATAGCTAGAGGTTAAAAAGTGTTTTTGGTCAGTTTTGCGACAGCTGCAAACAAAAGCATTTTAGAGTCTAATTCTGGGAAGTGTGTCAGCTAAAATCATTCCATGCTGTGGAAGCAACCTTCTCTCTTTGCTCTGTTAAGACTTTACATAGACTTTTTATGTTCATTGCCCCTTTAATCTTTTGCATATGTATCATGCACTCCTATAAATAAAAGTGATGGTGTGGGAACAGCTTAAAGGTGTCTTGCCCGAAGATTTAAGTGCATGCCACCTGCTTTCTAGAGAGACGTGATGGAGGAGATCAGCTGGATGACACAAGTCAAGGTCGGAAATCATGCTTGTTATAAGGTTGCTGTCACACACTTACTGTACCATGACACACATTTACCTTCACACCGGTGGCTGCCTCTTTGGTAACTAATTGCTGAATCAAAGGAAAACAGTTTGTGTGTACTACATCCAGGAGGAAAAAGAATATCACAAAAAAATTCAAGTAGCATTCCTTATTCAGAATTATAAGAAAATGTCCTTTGAAATTCAGATGCTAGAAACCATGTTGTCTGTAATCCGAGAGGTGACATCAGGCAGCACAGGTGGAGCAGCACTGCTTCCTTATTGAACTCACTGAGCAGCGGCCGAGCAACTTTAGTTTTTCACAGAATCGAGTGGACATGTGGTTTTTGCTGCAGGACAGCTCTAAATGGGGGAAAAAAAAACATTAGTAAAAATGTGTAAGAAAAACACAAAATCCAGCTAGAATATTTAATCAAATAGTTCAGGTGGGTAGCTGCGTCAGCATGTGTAGTCTGCAAAATAAAACGTTATAGGTTTATTCCATGCTGAAAAGAGAAGAGAGAAAACACAACGTTTCGGCTGTGAAACGTTCTTCAGGTGTGAGGGAGAATATTTAATCAAATGTTTTAAGTTGTGTGCACAAAACATTCAGCAATGTCACAGAAAAATAAATCAACCCTTCATTGTTAATTTGAGAAAAAAAGCAAAATTGTAAAATTGGAACTTTGATGGACTATAGGAATTTACAGACTATTATGTCAATGCTGATCTCTTTACGAACACAGCTTGCAATTACACTACTGTATATTACATTTACTCAATATAAAAAACGTTAGTGGCCTAAATCTACAGCACATACAATATAAAGCTGATAATTATATTGTACTATGCATTAGAATAAATCATTACTTCAAATAGTTTTAATGTACATTTTGGCAATTTGAACAGTTTAGCTAAAGCAAAATTAAATAATGCCATAGAGTATCATTGCTCTGTCAAGGGAATCTTACAATTTTTACCATTCTATTATTAGGCTGAAGTTAACACATTACATTTTCAACACATTGGACACATACTGTAACATAACAGAGCACACATACCATTGTCATACCACTGGACTGAAATAAGAAAGAAACTGAATATACTGTAAATAACATGGTGGCTATGATGGAAAAGTATCAGCATATACCAGGCTAATAAATTAAGTGCTTTTTTCCAGTATCTTCAAGTTACAGTATGCACAGTAAACATCAATGAAAACTCCAGCAAACTAATAAGATTGGTTTTCAGGTAAATGCATTTGGTTCTGAAAGTAGACATCCATTTAATACAACGTATTTTACCTCTAGCTCTTATAAAAAGCATTTCAATTAGATCCAAGAGGAATATAATGTAAAAAATGAATAAAAATGTCAATACTAGCAATATTACCTTTTCCAGTTAAGAAAGAAAACATGAAGGAGTCACATGGTTTAATTCACTTCACTTTTTTCTGTTCAATTTCTTTTCTTGGAACAGAAATGGCAGAACGAAAAAAAACCTTCAAAAACTCTTCAAAGAACACTGTCAAAGTAATTGCATTATACCTCTTTTCGTTTAATTTATGTTCATACAAAACTGTAAAGAGGCAGTAAAGAAGAAACATCCATTTGGAAACATACTGTACTTAAAAGCTGGCAAATTCAACAATATATTTGTTGGTAATGTTATGGTGAAAAATGAAATCTTCAATACATGAGAAGTCCAGATTATTGTATGCCATATTGTATCACACTTTAAGTTCTCACTTATTTAAGCAAGAGAGAGTCTCTGCTGCATGTACAGTATACTGTACAAGTGATCATTGCCAAGCTAAAGAAGAGATGGAGATTATCTGGAGGTTTATAAGAGATAGTGGATGGATTTAAGAGGCCCTACAACTCCACAGGATCATGTTGTATTTTGTTTTCCTGCTTTTGGGCATCAAAACATTGAGTGTGTCAAGTGACTGAATAAAATACTGTCATTGACTCATCAGCAATCTGGAGGATGTAGAGAGCTCTGGCTTCCCTAGAAGACAGGAAACAGGAGGTGACACTGAGGCCCAACTCTTCAGAGGCTTTGTGTGTTGCGTGCATAAAGTATATTATACTGAAAAGGACATAAATCACAGGCTATGTCTTTTTAATGAAGATTGTGATGAGGCAGTCCTAAAAAAAAAAAAAACCTCCCATGTCTACATGGGAATCCTGGCTGATTTGAAAGAAACCTTTCTGGTGTCAAATCAACACACCTATGTCAGCAGCAGCCCTTGTGTCAGTAAATATTAACTTCTGAAATTATGCATTGTTCTCTTCAGTAATCTCTCTCTCTCTGACAGAGAGCCAGGATCGTACATCGTTGGGCAAATGCACAGGACAGTGCCAAATTGCATTTAACAGGCCTGAGAAAGAAGCTCTTAAGATAAATGCTGGCCCTGTGCCTTCATCTCAGCAAAAACAGTTGCCCCCTCAGTCTTTCCAGTTCACAGTACAACATTAGAAAAACAGAGGAATAAATTAACATATTGACGTTACCCCGTGAAGTGATGGATGACTGTCTACAGTATGCCAGAACCACTTAAGAATTATATTTGTTTTTAACTTAGCTATTTTTCTATTTTGACAGCTTGATTTTGATCATGGACTCAGGCAACATGATTGATTTCTTTTGGACAGGCTTTTTTACCACTGTATTATATTCAATAGCCTTCATGGAGGTGAAGAAGGGATTCATGTGTTCAAAGCAAACACCTGTCCAAATCTGAAAAATTCTCTTTTCCTACAGGCTTCACTTTTTTCCAATATTATACATTGATATTTAGCTTTTCTCTGGACTACAAAAAACAACTAAATGCAATCAATTAATTATAAATGTGAATTATTTATAAGATTTCTTCAGAAAGGTATCATTCTTTAAATATTTCACTGCCTTTTGGTATGTTGTTTATTACTTCCAGAACAACGTTGAACATTACCCTTGTGGCACTTAAAACAGAAGTGTCTGACAAAGTCATTTTTTTACCATGAAGCATTTATGTTTAGATTTGTGTACTTGAGAAGAGATTCCATGTATCACACTGTACATTACCAAATACTGTATTTCATCTTAATATAAATACATTAAGACAAGAATTTAGAGCGTCATTTAAACTTCAATAAGTAATATATTGATGTAAAATAATTGATTCTGTACTATCCAGTTTTTGTAACAAGTTGATAATTTAATTTAGGCTAATTTGTAAAGGTGTCCATAAAAGCAGTTTGCACAGTTATCTAAAATTACTTGAAAGCTATATTGTGTGATCTGCTAATACAGCAAAAAATAAGGAACATACGAAAAGTTACTGAGAAGAGGAGGCCTTACTCTTTGGTTAACTGTAGCTTATTGAAATGAGGAGACTATTACCAACTGAAAGAGGTAAGCTTGGTAACAACAACACTTCATCTAAAGCAGTATCTGCTTTTTGTTCATTCTAAAAGACTATTCTCCTACTACAGCCTTGGAAAAGACAAAATTAAAAATAATTTCAAATCACTACTAGTGTAAGTTTTGGGATTTTCCCTATGAAAGTTAATTTCTCATTTGTACTGAGTAAAAAAATGTTGAAAACTATCATATAGTGTTTAATCACACAGTAGAAACACTGACATGCTCTTTTTTGTTAATTGTGTGAAAGAAAAAAAATGTACCCTGGGTACATTTCTGTAACAATGGGCCGGTAGGAGGTATGGATCCTGTGCAGGACTCAGGAGAGGGAGAGAGAGAGAACACCAATCCTTATCACTTAGCAAAACCTATACCAGGAAGCAAGCAAGGAGGTCAGGAAACAAGAAAGACAACCAGAGAGCAACAATCCAAAACACAAGGCAAAGTCAAAAACGAGAGGCAGGGAAGAAGATCCAAAACTGAAAGTAAACTAGTTATAATATAACACGCACTTGTGGATTCTCTTAGAACTCAGAGCATACTGTATATCATATCACAAAGGAAAACTAGAAAACCAGACAGGAACTGTTTATTTAGTGAAGACCTTACGGTCTCAGCAAACTATTTTTCCGAGTATATAACCTAAAATTGTATATATATTAACAGATGTATTAGAAGGTTTTAAAATTTGTAATATTTTAAAAACTTTTACAATTCAATTTTCCAAATGCAGTGCATACCAGCAAGTTATACGTTTTGTTAAAATTATTTTTTCTGCAATTATCTAAGTAGTTTTTTTAAACATGGAAAATGTATATTGTGCAAGTGATAACATTTACTCAAGTACCAAATTAGCTCTATTTTTGCCATCATATACTGTAGAAAATAACATAACATATGTTTAACAACCAGAAATGGGTTCTGGTGTTTTGATAAATCCAACTGTTTAAACAATTCTCTCTCCTAATGAAGATATTTAACCTGAACAGCTGTATGCATAACTATATTATAATGTATATACAGTATATAGCTTGTACAAATCAAAAGGCATATAATTATAAAGTTGTAGGTACATCTCATAATGTACTGAATATGATTTCAAATTAAACATAAGTTTCTAAGTTATATAATCACAAACAACTGCACACGTCTTTAAAATATAAACGTGGAATATAAACACCTGCACAGCAAACTTACAGCATAGCCCAGGATGTTTGCTGGTAAAGAGTGGAACCCTTGGTGATTTCTATTCAAATATTCGCAAAGGCACGGAAGAGCTAAGGAAACAGTCAATCTAAGATGTGATTGGTAATTTAGCTCAGTTGAAAGAAAGATAATTTAATCAATATAGCACTTGAGGAATACCCAGCTGTGGAATTATGAGAAGGGCGCCAACAGTTACAGTATTCAGTATGAATTCTGTATCAAGCTCCCACATTTTATAATAGCAACCTCACATGTACAATACCATGTACCTTTATTAGAATATCTCACGGTATAACATTGCACACACACTCAGATGTATTTTTTTACTGTAGAAGGAATTAGTGACTATTTTTTCAAACTATTCTTAAACATCTAAATTTATTTGTGAAGCAATTTTTCACTTTTCAACCTTTACTACTGTTTAGTGGTTCTGCTGTGGCAGATGGCTTCCATACTAAGCCCAAGTGGGTTCTTAGGAATGAAAAGCGCTATATTAAATTCAATAAATTATTATTACTACAAACCTAACGACACTTTGTCTTGGAAAAATGTGGTTAATTGCTGTAGTACACCTAATAATGATTCTCTTAATTTTGTAATGACAGCCAAAACCAATTTTCTTAAGAGTCACTTAAAAGTTTTCACCACTTGCGCCTTCTTGTTGAATAATCCGAATTCTGACATGTTTTCAGCTATTTCTGTGCTATTTAAAATGCAGAACATCAATTCTACAGGAGCCATGGTGTGTT